TGTTGAAAAACAATGATCTTACTTAAAAATGGGAGATTTGATATGGGTCCAGATTGCTCTTTTTTAAGAGTGGCTTAATGACTGCAGTTTTCAGGGCCTGTGGGAAAAAACCTGAGAGGAGAGACATGTTGACAATTTGTAGTAAATCTGAAGCCATGCATTTAGAAACATTTTTGAAAAAACCTATTGGCAGAATATCAAGGCAGCATGAGGAGGATTTCAGATGTTGTATTATGTCCTCCAGGTTTTCATGGTTAATAGAATCAAATTGTCTCAAACGCTAATTACAATATATACACCGGCTCGCCCTCTTCGCTTTCTCAATGCTGGTCTCCTGGCTCCGTTGGTGCCAAGGTCCTTGCACTGTAAATAAAATATGATTTGATTCTATTTCTTTGGGTTGAATGTATGTTCATTTGAACTTGATCTGTGGAAGAACCAGCTGTACTAATCAATATATATATATAAGGTTTTATACAGCCCCCTAAGTCTTGTTTTGATCATTTATGGTGTTCATATGTGACTTTGCAAAGAAACTCCTCCACAGTGTCTAACTTGCAAAAATAAATTTATAAGCTTGCAATGTTTCAGTACACCTTCATCAGGGAAAACATAACTTCTTTTTCATCAGAATTGCAGGTATATGTAAGTATAAGGGCTTTTTTAAGTTTGCATTTTTACCCATACCTACCCCTTTTTATCTGTCAGAGCTCCTGGGGTAGCTTCTGTAGCACCTGCAGGAAACTCCCATGCTGACCTGTGGTTCGGAGGACATCTGGGAATATCATGTATGCCTCCCACTGCTCCACATTCACTCTGTTCAAACAGACCACCAGCTAATTATGGCTTTCCCAGATCCCTGGGCTCAAGAAATCACTATACAGAATAAGCCATGGTATGAGATGTTTTATTTTGCCCCCTCCACTGTGGTTAAGTTAACTAGGATTCAGCAACAACCTATGAAAATAAACTCTCTAGGCTCAAAGTACTGAGACTATGGAAAGTGAGCTTGTTTCAAAAAAATGTCAGGTGTTTAAAACAATATAGCCTGTGTGTATGTGTAAACTGAGCACCCTCATGCCATTAGCCATGGTGGTCTTGAAATTGACCAGTTTTGTATTTTGTTATTCAGCCTTAATTCAGAGCTTAAGTTGAAGTCTATTATGAATATCCAGACAACTGAGAGGTAAGAATGATACTTTCATTGTTTTTATTCAAGACATTACCAAATATTTACAGCACTCAAAATGCCCATACTCCAGATCCATTCAACATTCACGAGATATCCCAAAATAAATAACTTTTATTTGAGTGGGGGAAAGGAATTTCGAACCGGTGTAGAAAAATAAATACAAAATACTTCATTTGCTGTGAAACATTGTCACAGGGAATGTGGAATGAATTGTCATTTTTCTCTCGAGTTTCAAAACAGAGCAGTTCCTCAGAGCTCGTTTTGTTTTTACAACATTCATCGTCGCAGTGGTCTTCCTTTCTTCATATCCGTCCTGTCTGTCCTAAGTGCTCCCTTGCAAACATTAGAGTCCACGCAACGGGAAAAATGAAAAGCCCGCTCTCTTCTGAGGCCTAAAGCACAGCGGCTGGGCGTCAGCTGTGTTTGGCCTCTTTCAGTTTATCTGAAGGGTCGGCCTCATCCACTGGTTCTTCAGTCTGGATAATCTGTGAAAAAATGTTATTTTGATTAAGAATAAAAACCCAGTGCATTAAATATATAATCCTATGGGATTTATGCAGTAGGCCTATAGATACAAATATGTGTTCAGAAAAAATGCATAGGCTATTCATCCCTTGCATGTAGTACCTTGTAACAGCATGAGTAAATTTAAGGTGGATGGTGAAATCTTGTGGCTGTTTTACAAATAATGTGCATGATTTCTTTGTACAATCTGCGGGGGAACTACACCCCTTTCATAACGAAATAAAACAGGCTTAATGCCTATTACACGTGTTATATGTTTCGTTTTTATTATTTTTGTTTGTTGTTTTTTGGGGGTGGTGTGTCATGCTATATAGCCTAATTATTACAGCAAAAGTGTTTCTATTAGATTCTATTTTTCATCCGGGTGTCAGAGCGTAAATTCCGCATATGGATATTTTGGCACCACTTGTCTCCCTGCAGGACAAAAAGTGAAAGGCCCTCAACCTACCGTGCTGGACCATCCACAGCAGCCCTGCTAGTGGGACGTAGTAGACAAGGTCCACGCTCCCCCCATCCTCCAGACCGAGAACGCGTAGCTCAGGCGCTCGTGCGCCACGTAGCTGCAGCTTGTCCCTCGCGCGTCCAGCTCGTCGCTTTGCAGAACTTGGCACAGGAAGTCGATGTACCGGGCCGCGAGCTTCAGCGTCTGGATCTTGCTGAGTTTGTCCGATGGGAGGGTGGGGATGATCTTGCGTAGCGACGTGAATGCCTCGTTCAGCGACTGCGTCCGTTGTCGCTCTCGGATGTTGGCCATCACGCGCTGTGTCTGTAGATCATCGAAGGAGGGCTCGGGGCTGCTGCTGCCTTCACTGCCGCCGCTCCCAGCGCTGCCGCCTCCTCCATCGCAGGTCTTTCTGCATGTCTTTTTCCCGGTGCTCGGACTCTCTATGTCTCCCTCTTCCTCGTCGTCCGCGCTCTTTCGTGTGGCCCGCCGCTTCCTCGCGCCTCTCCGCGGCAGTTGACGGTCGGTCTCCTCCTCACTGTTCCCCGCACTGTCCATTGGAGAGGAGTCCTCTTCCCGCATCGTCTCTTCCAAAACTTTTCTGTGGTCTGTAGCACCGTAATAGCCCCTGACCCTAATCCACTGAACTGGTTACAACATCAGCAAACACGGCAGGTAATTATAAGTGTGGCCTGCAATAGGGGTGTGGGCTTGTATAACGGTAAATCTCGTGCGCCACGGAGAGGCAGAGCTGTCTGCCAGACTGGGACGACCGGGGCTCTTATAGCGGGGAGCGGGCAGGAGGATTTTGGGGAGCGCTGTGATTGGGTGAGGAAGGGTGTAACATAATACTGCAGGAGAAGGAGAGTATAATATCAGGAATGGTGTTTAAGACATGCAGGCTCCTTTATGCAAGACTGTGAAAGGGAGTGTTGAAGGGGCGCGGTGTTATTGAATCATAGGTGTAGATATCTGCAATCCCTTCCCCTTTAGGGATGAATTATTTCTCCCTTCTCCATTCCAATTTATTTCTGCCCCAAATGCAAAATGCTATTTTTTTCTCTCACTCTTGGATTAGATGCAATTTAAACAGATAAGTTGGAATATGTGTTTAAAGTCTATGAAATTAATATTGGCATAAATTAGACGACTCCTTTCATGTTCAGACTTTTTTGTTGCCACTTTTGTTTAATTTCCAAGTCATTTTAAAAGTTGCTGCCGTGCGTCAATATGCGTGGACTTGCTTTTATTTCTTTCCAATTGCAAATAAGTCAAAAAAGGACACCACATGGCCCAACAGACATTCCTCCACAAGCCTGTTGTTGGCCTAAAGTCTTCAGGTCTAGACACAGCCTGAGGTGGGATGCATGGTGGCGGTGAAAAATATCAGACCTACTGAAACACAGGAGGTTGTCACAGCAGGAGGTCTCTGCTCGTAAGCAGACCGTGGTGTTTATTTTCCCGTCAGCGGCCCCGCGTTGAGGTATGCGCTTAAATGGGTCTGACTCCCGCAGGGATCTCGACACCGCGGCTCAGGTTTAAAAGACCGGCCGTCCCAGGGAGCTCTCAGGGCGGATCCGTGCTCACAGCGGGGTCGCTAAAGGCGGTGTATGGCTGGAGCGCAATGCAAACACTGGAGGTGATAGAGAGAGGGAGATACACACACACACACACACACACACACACACACACACACACATACATACTCTCTCTCCCTCTCTCTCTCTAAACACGCACACATGAGATACGGCTGAAACTAACTGGCAACCTTTTGAGGTGGGCTGTGAATTATCTACAGGGAGGCCTTACCTCTGATGAGGGGAAGATGACACTCTGAGAGGGCCACAACAGGCCTTGTCTACTCCCTTTTTAATACGACTGCCACAAGCGCCTTTCGGGTCTCTCCCTGCATTAAATATCTGTCGTTCAAAAGAGACGGAGAGCACGTCTAGAGGTCTCTCACTCTCTCAGTTTACCTCTCCGGAGCTCATCTCAATTCACACCTCAGCGCCAAGGATAATAACCAGCGTCATGTAGTTGGCGTTGACTTTGCGATTCAAATAAAAACTTTTTTAACTAATTTGCACGTGAGTGGGTTGACATAGCCTATGGCTTTTCATGGCAAAGCCATAGGCCTATGTCTTATTTGTTCTCCTTCTTCTTTTAAAGCACAAAATAAAAGCTGGCCTTTATGTCTTCAGCCTCACTTGTTCCGCATCAGGCCAGGTGAGGCGAACGGCTGTCGCTCTCCAGGGTGCTGAAATAACGCACCTGAAGCTTCAGTCTTCACTCTCCTTTAAATGTCATCATATTGCCTATATCTTCTACTGGACGTTAAATGTTACTGTTTGAAACACTGAAATACACTTTTAAAACAGATGCAGCATAAATCTCAGAGCCACGAATCTAGCATGACATTATACTCCTGTACATTGGCCTAAATTAGTTTAAATAAAATTGTATGTTTCTTGTAATGTAGAGCAAAGAACACGTATATCGTAAAGCATATATTTATTTCAAAGCAACAGTAAGTCATATATATTAAATGAAATATTTGCAGGAGTTGCTCTTGGTTTGATTAGGACAAGACTAATCATTTATGCCACTGGCTAAAAATATTGTGCTATAGTCTACACTTCTGAGAGAAAGGGGATTTTGAAACGTATATTGTCTGTAATTGTTGAAGATATTTCTTGCCTGTTTTAGAACTCTAAATTTTCAGAAATTGAACCATATCACGTTCGGATGGATCTAGGCCTAATTTAAATGTGAATTTAGACAAGTTAACCAGTTCAACAGTTTCAGAGTCTTTGTCATCACGGGCATCTGTGTTAAACTCAATCCAGTCCGATCTTCATACAATAAAGTTCATATTGGACTGTTTTGACTATTTTGCTGTGACAGCAGGTCCGTCATGAAGGAGATGTAGACGATGGCCAAACGGAGTGTGTCGATGCGGGACAGTCTCTTCTCGTAGGCGAAAGTGGGAACTTTTCTCCTCAGTTCATCAAACGCCTCATTCAGGCTAAACATCCGCTTCCTCTCCCGCACGTTGGCCGCCTGCCGCTGGACCACGGTAATGATCCTCCTCCGTTTGGACTTTTTGTGTTGCCCGTCCGCCCCGCATCTGTACATCGGTGAGCCCAACACCAGGTGCTCGTTTTCCAGATCCAGGCTCCAGGGCGAGTCGTTCAGCCGCATCTGGTTGTCCGGACTGCCTGGGACATTATCCACCTGCTGTTCCGGTCCCAACGTGTGCTTTTGCGGAAACTGCATCAGGTTCATGTCATTGACAAAATGTATTATCGCGGAGTCCACTAAGCGGCCTTGCATCTCCACATTCGGTCCCAAACAACAACCACACAGAGAATATGCCACTTTTATATGTCTGCTATTCAGTCAAGTGTAGTTAAAGTGAAGCCAATCAAAGCTTTCAGGACAGCATCTCAACAAGTAAATCCAGACATCTCCAAATCCGGTCAGCGCACGACAGGGTGAGATCCTACTTGGCTCAAATCCAAGGGTCTTTCCTGCTGTTTTAATAAGTTGACTATGCCTCCTCACAGCGCGACATGTTTCATGTCCACTTTAGCTCTAAACTGAGTCCATTTCTAACGTTGATCGGCAGGTGAGTGGGTTGAATCCGAGGAGAGAGGCTTAAAAAGGACGAGAGGAAGCTGGAGGGCCCCGCCAATTGATGCGCTGTCCTCCTGGATGCCCTTAATGAGCTTCTGAAGAACGTTGGCTCTTGACAGAGGGTCATACAGTCTTGTTTGCACTCTCCCCTCTGCTTCAGAGGCTAAATAATGACACTTTTATCACTTAAACAGGCCAGGAGAAGACCAAATAGAACATTCCCCAACAGTCGCTATACACCCCAGGCTTTTCTGTTGCAAATTAAAGCAAATAACTGTCCGTTCCCATGGCAGGACAGAGTCCACATGGCAAGGACTGCCAACAGCGCCACTGTGACTATATGTCTCCAAAGAGAGTGCTTGGTCACTATAAAGAGCTCTGCATTAGTGTGACCAAATTTGTTGTTGTTGATGATGTTGATGATGATGATGGTGGTCATGGCCATGGTAAAAAAATAGATGTGAAACTCAGTCTGATCAATTAAGTCTGGCCTTAATACTATTTGCTTTCTAGGTTAAAGCGCAACTAGACTAATTAGAACCTCAGACATGTTCACACTTTTCTCAAAATGTGAATGTAAATGCTCCGTACTTGTATAGCGCCTTTCTAGTCTTTTCGACCACTCAAAGCGCTTTTACACTACATCTGCATTCACCAGTCACACACATTCATACACTGAGCCTAAGTGCTCAAACGGAAACTAACATTCACACTCACTCATACACTGGCGGAATAGCCGCCAGGGGCAATTCGGGGTTCAGTATCTTGCCCAAGGACACTTCGACACGGAACCAGGGGGAGCCAGGGATTGAACCGCCGACCTTCCAATTAACAGCCAACCCGCTCTATCTCCTGAGCCACAGCCGCCCAAAACCAGAAACACAAAATTAACAAACAATTTCCGTGCCACTATACACTATTCCACTATACATTTGTGTGAGAGGGAAATGAGTTTGTAATACTTTGTGTCCATTTCAGTTGTTAAGAGCAGTATACTGCAGATTCACCTGTTGATCAGCTGCAATTCTTTACATGCAGCTATATTGTTCAACTGGGAGATGCTCACGTTGTTCTTTGGAGGGATTGCCAAATTCACATACTGTTTCCCAAATATAATCCTATCTTATTTTACTCAAACAAACTCAAACTTCAAATTAAATTGATTATACTTTAATCAGGAAGTTTGACAAAGACAAACGTTGATTTGTCTAATAACTGAACAGGCAGCAAATAAGGTCGTATTTCCTTTATAAATTCTGACACATAGTCTCAGTCTCATTTTCGTTTTTGGGTACACTAAGTGCAACTCAACTACTGTGGTTTAAGGAGGAGACAGTATGCTGTTCTAAAAGTTGGTGAACTCAGCATTTACAGTGGTGTTGTTTTTAAAGCTGACTCATGATGACGAATTGTTGCAGAGGCATGAAAATTCAAACTTTCAGCTTTACAGGTAATTGATTATATTAATAGTGTAAAATTGGACTGAAGTTCTCCTTTGGACATCCCCTTCAGGGAGGTCAGGGGTTATCGTCGATCCCAGAACAGTAGGCTACCTCTGGAGCTTTGCAGAGATTTGCATTTCAACTGAAGTTGCCATTCCTTCATGCAGTTGGTTGACAGGTCAATGACTGAGCATAGCTGCCTCCAATTCATAAACATTTAAAGGCAGTGTCTGAAAAATGAATAAATAGTTCATGACCTATTATAACATGGTTGCAGACACATATATGGTCATTTTTAATTGTTTATTTATTTTTTGTGTTTATTTGTTTATTCATATGAACAGACAGTTCAATTATATTATTAAATTTATACTGTGTCAGCAAGACTGTTTATACCCTAGTTAAGGCTGTTCATTGCTATCATGCAGACAAATGTATTAATAAACTAAATAGAAATGCAGTTGCTTATGCTTAAAACAACATTATACACTGTAAAACTCATTATAAATACTGCAAAAGATATTACATTATAAAGGACTTTTGAGTGAAATTTGCAGGAAAATTCGGTAAAATGACAGCTTTTTCAGTTAAAGGATGTTATTGTTGTTTTTTTCCATTTAAATTGAAAGCAACAAGTGCATATAAATCTTACTGAAAGGTTTTGTAATTTCTCATGTTAATTCAGCAGAAAAGGGCTGTTGGACTAAGACTTAGACTAAATTTTAACATTATTATTATTATTATTATTAAATTAACATTAGATGCAAGTAACAGTAACATATTAACAGTAACTTTGTGTGTTTTTTGCTATTTGAAGTGCCTCATGCATTCCAGTGTGATTATTCCATAGCCTATACACAAGTGCATAGAGTGTGAATGCATAAGTGTCTGTCTTATACATACATACATGTATATTCTCCATTGCCCTCTGCAACTTCTTCTTCCTCTCTCTCTGTTTTTCTGGCAGGCGGATAAACATGATGGGACATTCCGCCGGTTGTCATGGAAACGCTGAGAAAGCACAGCTGGGCGGAAGAATATGAGGTAATCTCACCCTGGGGCTGCTGGGTAAATATTGGTCTTAAATAAGGAGTAAAACCCCAAAAGAGGCGCACACACACACACACACACACACACACCTACAGGGGTTTATCCCAGTTTTGTCAGAGTGGAAACACACAGGACAGACCTTCACACAGAGATTCATAATGTCCTATTTCCTGCTGTGCTCTGTTATTGCTGAAATTAATGGTAGTGTGCAGTGCAACTAAATGTTTGCTGAAGTAAACAGTGGAGGATTCTTAGATACCTCAGAGTAAAACAAAAAAATTGTCAAGAACTGTGGATGTTCAGTTCAGTCAAGTGAATTTAGACTTAGTCTATATGCTATGCTAGCGGCTCTACTATGCTGCTGTACTCAGCAACGCTCCAAGCTAAATGCTCAACATCCACGCCACTCTGCACTGGCACCGTGGCCCCCCGGGGTGCCCAACCCCCAGTTTGAGAATCAGTTGTTTATCATATGAGTTTAGTGTGTTAGCATGCTACCATTTGCTAATTAGCCTAAACACCAAGTACAACTGGGGCTAATGGGAATGTCATTAGTTTTATTTATAGGTATTTGTTCAAAGACTGTGTATTGGACCAATGTATTGGGAGCAATAATGTGTGTAACACATTTCATGTCCACGCATCCAATAGTTATTGAGACATGTCACTCAAATATCAACCTCTTTTTGCTCTAAACAAAAAGTCATGGAATCATCAAAATTAAGACTCATCCTCTTGGGACAAAATGTTTGTATAACATTGATTGGCCATCCATCCAAAAGTTCTTGAGACATTTCAGTCTGGACCAAAGTGGTGGGTAGCCTGACTAACAATATCCTTATAGCTACAACACCACCACTTTATAATTTGTTTTAAGTAATTTTGCAGTGAATTGACCCCCAATGGCCAAATGCAACCTAGCACTTCAGTTAATAAATTGTGTATTTGGTATCTTACAGCACTTACAAGTACATATATCTTCTTTATACCACACTAAAATCTGCTTGGGTAGAACGGACTTGAGTCCTATGTGTTGGGAAACATGATTTCACAAATTTCACATCAGTGTGGAAATAATAGTGTGGATTCTTGATATGTAAGTATTGTATTTTCATGCTGAAGCAGTTGTCATTTAGACATTTTTTAAATATAGAGCTCACTGGAGGACAGTATGTATCCAGTGTAGGGCTCCAGAGCAGCTAGAGCTGTTCTCACCATGTAAATCTGTCTTCCTACTCCTCCTCTGGCTCGGTCCTCCGTGTGCTGTAAGAACACAGCCAAATCTCTCCCACCACCGCTGTAAATCTGAAACTAGAGACTGCTTTCTAGTTCTGTTTCTTTCTCTCTCCTTGACTCCTCCTTAGTTTTCCTTGTTAATGTGAGAGTGGAGCAACTCAAATGGTGTGGCATACTTTTTTCAATTCAGTATAAGGACTGACAGATTAACACAGTTGTCCACTGACAGCATATACAGACTTAATAAGTTGTAGGTCTATATGGCAGAATTATTATACATACATTGTAAACCGTGTATAGCATTTGCAATAAAGCAAATTTGGAGTTTAGGAAATTTAAGAGGAGTCAGAGGGAGACAAGGGAGATGTAAGGGAGATGAGTTTAACTCCTGACCTATCTGACTCTTCTTCATTGTGTCCCTCTGCCTCTCTCTGCCTTCCTTTCCTTCTCTCTCCACACCCAGAAGCTGACTCATTGGTTCACTTGTCCCACTTTCTTCTACATCTCACTCTCTGATTGGCTGGGCACTTTAGCCACCAGAGAGTCATGAAGTGTTTACGGAGCTGGGTGGCGAGTGAAAGGTATGGTTCATGCATGTGTGTGTGTGTGTGTAAGTTGGATAAACCCCAACACCACATTATATATCTCCTTACCCTCCTCCCCCAGTCAACCCCCCCCCCCCCCCTTCTAACCGCAGCATGCCATCAGCTCCTCCTTTCCTGCTTCTTAATCCAGCCTCTCAAACCTCTTAGCTCTCCCTCTGACTGCCACACTAAAAACCCACACACCAGTGTCAGCACCTTGCCTCTGTCCCCACCCCCCTCTGCTGTCTGAGTAAGGTCTGTGTTTATTTTCTGAAAGAAGGTCACCCGCTCTCTACTATGAATTTTAAGGGTGCCATGTTTCATTTGTTTTAACAAATCATCAGTCATATTCTCAACTCTGTTGTATGCTGCGATGCCTGATAGCCCAGGATGATCATGATGAATATGTATATACTGTAGGAGCAGTGTGCGTTCAGCAATTTGGCACAGTATGTGTGTCCTCAGTGTTTGTTTATGTAAAATACCTTTACACATGACTGTTCCAGATAGACTAGACTTTTTCTACCCACCACAGTGCAAGAACTGCTTAGAAACATTGGTGAGACGGAAAACATGGACAGCACTGACGAGAAACATCACTAATTCTCACACAAATAATGAAAAAAAAAACTTTTGAATGAATGAATGTGTATCCCTCCAGCTGGAATTCTGGTCATAGGCAGTAGAAGGAGCGCTACTTTAGCACCCACTAATGGCATATCAATAAATTTACTCTTATATTGTGCATGACACCGTATTTTAAGCTGTATCACCGTATTAGCTTGTATCAGTCATCAGTAAGCCCAGCTCCACCTTTAAAGAGGTCATATTGTCCTTATTTTCAGGTTCATTATTTTATTATTTTATTTTTAGGGGTTGTACCAGAATAGTTTTACATGGTTTAATTTTCAAAAAACGATATATTTTTGTTATACTGCACATTGCTGCAGCCCCTCTTTTCACCCTGTGTGTTGAACGCTCTGTTTAAGCTACGCAGTGAAGTGATCTCACTTCTATTTGATCTTTGTTGGGAGCTGCACATGTGCAGTAGCCTACCTAATTAAGACTAGCCAATCAGAAGCATAGTACGGTGGATTTCGGTTCAGCTAAACATGTTCTCGAACCAGCTTTGC